AATATTATCCCTATTTAAACCTAATAATTATAAGAGATAATGTAATGTAAAATTAAAAAATTTTCCTTTAAATATAGATAAAATTAAAAGTTTATTTTATTTTTAAATAAAATTAATAATTTAATCACATTTTTTTTGTTCTAGTGAGGTAGCTAGATGTGTCTTATAAGAGGAATTTGAGGGTGTAAATGTCAAATCCATACCAACTGATTCAATCTTTGTTGGCCAATCTCCCTTTTATTTAAATAAAATATTTTAAAAATATTATTATTATTATTATTATTATTATTATTATTTGTATTTTTACTTAAATTTGTTAACAGAACTTCTTATAACTCTTGAGGATGCGTGCAAATTTGATTTCTGTCATAAATTCAAGAGGATATACAGTGCTTGTGATGTGTGGGTGCCAGAAAAGCATGTCTTCAAATGGTAAGAGATACCTGGCTTTTTTTTTTTTTTTTGAAAGAGGAAGTATATACTATTTTAGAGGAATTATATCTAATTTTTTAAACGAGAAAGTGTATAGTTTAGTCAGATCAAATGTTAAAGTAATTAGAATGTTGTTGAATTGGTTGAAGTTGGAGAGATTGAAAAGATTTGCATGTGTGGGCTCGCTTTCCTTTTTATGGGCAAAAAGCGATAGTTTTATCATGCTCCAAATTCCAATTTTTAGGGTTATTAGCTGAAATTATTTTCAAAGTTCCTCTACTTTCACTCTTTTTTGAAGGGTTGCTTGCCCTAATATTTCTACAATTTTCTTCCTTTCAAAAGATTTAGGTGGATTTGGGCTCAAATTAAGATTTTAGTTCAAACAATTAGGTTTGGGGCCAAATTCATATAATAGTTTATAAAATACTTTATAACTTTTTATTTATTAAAAATATTTCTACAATCAATAGCCATGAGATTAATATTTGAAGGAATCAGAGCACAATCTAGTAAGCCCCAAAAATCATGGTGACCGAACTTTTTTCTCATAAGAAATCTTTATTTGAACTTTAACTCAATATTCATTCATTTTTATAGTTTTAAGTATTTATATTGATTCTTCTAAAATATTTGCTTTAAAAAAAATTATAACGTTAGAAAAATTTTACTATATTAATCTAATTGTTTTTAATAAATCCGATGTATCTTGGAGCTGTATAAAAAATACTTTTTTGTGCGTGTGAAGCATGATGCATATTCCAAGTCAATGATCAAAATAATTTATTCATATATCAAAGGCTAACATTTCTCAGTCTTCGCGTCCATAAACTGTAGACTTAGAATTGACTTCTATTAAAAAAAAACATTTTCTTACCATCTTGATCTGATTATTATTTTTAGATTTTAATAAATGGAGTTTATCGCGGGAGCATTATAAAAAATTGTTATTAATTTGGCGTATGTGTGGAGCATGGTATAGTATACTTCCATTCGATTTTCAATATATTTTACTAAAATTAAATAAAATTTTAAAGTTAGTTAACTCTATTTAAAAATTTAATAAGTTTTTAACTCTATCTTTATTAAATTAAATAACATAACTTAAAAATTTAATGATATAATATAAATAAGATTAAAAAAATTCTTCTATTTCCTCGTAAATGGAAGTAACATCTTGGTTGGGGAAAAAAAAAACGTGGAAAGAGAAGGCGGAACATTAAGTTGGGGTAGATGGAACGTTTTCAATATAGAATTAGGTGACACACTTAATTTAATTGTGTGCTTTATATATATTCTTCTGATACTATTTATAAATTATTTTTAACATATTTTATTAATATCAAAAAAATTTTAAAACTCATTAATTTTATTTTAAAATTTAATAAATTCTCAACTTCACCCTTATTAAATATACACATTTTAATAGTATATTTTCTCTTTCCAACACTCAATGAAAAGTAAACAAATATTTATAATAAAAATTTAATGATGTGACTTATAAATAAAATTAATTTTTTTTTCTTCCTGTTCTATAAATAGAACTAGAGGGAGTGAGTATAGATGATGATGAAGACAATTTGGCAGATGGAAACTGAAAATTTTAGAATACTATATCAAAAATGAAAAGAATAAATACACATAATGTCACGTAACCATAAAGTAACAGACAAAACACGAGACCAAAATAATTTTTGAAAAAGTAAAACAGAAAATGATGAATAAGATAGGAGGCGTTGAAAGAATCAAAGAAGACAACATGTGGGCTTATTTTCTTGCCTCGGGAGGTTGGGACTTGGGGTGGCGTGGGGCATTACGTACAGAACGTGCCTCCACCGGTCGTTCATGCTCGGGGTGGCACTCTGGGTAAAGTCAAACAGCTTTCAACCAAAAAGATAAAAATAAATTAAAAAATATAATTTTTAGTTTTTCAATTTATTCTCAATTATCAATTATATCTTTATATTTTATCTTAATATAACTTCATCTTTATAGTTTTATAATTTGAAACAATTTAGTTTTTATAGGTTTTTGAATTAACATAATCTAGTTTTTGTAACTATTGAATTGTATTGAGTTAGCATTAGAGGACTAAAATGATATTCTAAAAAAAATTTGAGACTAAAAGTTTTATTATTTCAAAATAAAAAAAATATAAATCTTACTGAGAAAATAAAAATGTTTACAAAATTCACCGTGAATAACTATTAATAGATTAGGAATTTACTGATATTCATAACTAAATCAAGTTTCATCTTTCAGTTGAGATTATATTATTATTGAGAGTAATTAGTCATATTTTTATTTGGGCTTCTAATACTTGCGTCTGGTTGATAAATGTGATTTGCATTTTTTTTTAAAATAACCTAATTTTATCTTAGCGGCAAATTGATATTAAATTTAGCTGACACTATTAATGACGCGGGAAAACAAAAAGGCCATTTAACAGTTAAACTATTTGATTTAAGTTATGATTGCAGACAAAAAATATTTCAAATTTCATTTCTTCGGCAAAAAATTTTCAAACTTCACTATACTGGAAGAAATCAACATTAAAAAAAAAATCCAAAACGAAAACGTCAAAAAATACTTTGAAGAAAAGACATTGTATTATTATTATTTTTTTGGTAAACATAAGACATTACATTTTGGGCACCAAATTTGAAGTTCTGATCTCCGCTTTCTATTTCCCGTACCATACTATGTTTACTGAATAATTCAATGTCCACATCATTTCAAGGTTTAGTACATTATATGGCTTTTAGAAGAATTAAAAAATTCTTTTTATTTCACATTAATCACAAACTCCCATTGTATTTTCAAAATCCATTTAAATCTTCTCCGAAATCAAGGGTTACGTAGCGCAAACCTTTTGTTTGATATTCTTATTCAATCTCTCCAATTGCTAATTAACCCTTGAATCACAAATTTTGCACAAAACAGGCCATCTTTAACAAAAAGTCACCAAAACATTATTTAACTTATAAAGACAATTGTATAATCATTCATAATTTTTTGAGAATGATATTTTTCCTTTTGGCCAAAACAGATATTTTTAATTCTAAATTTAAACGAGTGTATATGTTGACGAGTAAAATTAAATTTTTATTTCCATTTAAAATTTTGATATTATAATATTTCAGTATTGAATCCTACCCAACCCAATTGTTTACCGGACTAGGCACCAGCCTAGCTTGACCCAACCCCAACCCTTACCACGCCCATAATAGTTTCTCGCTTGTGTTCTGACTTTACTTCGTCAATCACCCATATAAAAAAAAATGTTCAACTATTAATATTAATAAATTAATAAAAATCTAGAAGTTTTCCTTTCAATCTCATCAATGGATTAGTCTTTTTTCCTTTAGTTTAATGGGTAATTTTAAACCGTTTATTCAACATCCGCCCAATTCAAGGCCAAATCACAGGAGGGTTGCCCTAACATTCGAGATGCCTTTGGCAGATTTCCTGAAGACATATGGACAGTACTAAGAGGTTTCATCTGCCACTCCTGAAAAGCACATTTGCAGGTAAGTATTGCCCCCACGTGAACGTGCTTGATTCAGCATATATCAAACCAATATTGTCTGCTTTTCAAGATCACAATGTGCCAAGATCATCACAGATACCAAAGTTTTGCCAATGCAGTACAAATGAAATCATGATCCTGACCACCATGCAAGCCAAAAGTACCCTTTTTGCATTGTGATTTCTTCACAACGTCATATACTTCGGGAGATACCAAAAACAGAGAGACATGAGAACATGTTATATCACCAAAGAAAATATTCTTTTCTCTAGCGGCACCATATAACAATGAGTTCTTGTTACATTGAGGGGTGTCATCCAACATACAGCAACAATCTCCCATCATATAACTTTTCCAATGAGGAAAAATACATAGGAATGGATGATAAAGGAGTGAGAATGGGAATAGAATATCATTATGTTTTGAATAATATATGAATGATTTTACCTTACTGTGCCCGGTAGAATAGAAATGATAGGAAAGGAAAATATGTAATAGCAATTCATCAATTTTTCCATATTGCAAAGTACTATTCCATCATTAATTTGATCAAATGATTTGAGCTGAATTTTGAAGGAAAAGGAATGGGAGAAGGATTCCAATTCCTTCATACTAAACTTGGCATTGCCCCATTTGACCACCCTTTTCCCTTTCTATTTTATTGACTTCATTAAAATACATAACCATTAGGTGTATTATTTCCACAACGTGATAATACAAGGAATCAAAGGAAGCTCACCAAAGTGGGTGTTGCAAGTAGTGGGTCCCAATGGCAGGCTCACTCTGGGGAATTTCCACCAGTTGGCTGTGCAAGGAGTGCACTCAAGAATATTATTTTATAACGACTCTCTATTGTGACATCCAAGTCTTAAACCTCAGTATCCAAAATACCATAACTTGTGAGATGGCAGTACCAATGCCACCTGTGTCTGATCATATTACCATCAAACGATAAGTTTCTTTCTCACCCTATAATTTGACGTATGAATTAACTTAATTTAAACAAAGTTTCCCAGCATTTTGGGAAAAGAAAACACCAAACTATAGAACGCTCAGTCCTTCATTAGAAATTGATTAGAAAATATTACCGCACTGAATTATGTCAATTAAACTAGAGAAACATTTTCTATAGTTCCCACAATCCAGAATAATCCATATCAGATCATACCCAACAGTAAGTGATAACACCTTCAGACAGATACAAAAGCATAACCAAAAGCTAACAAAAAGAAATTTGTACTTCACAGCAGAGTTTAACCTACTTAAGAAAACCAGAATAATTAAGTTGATGAATGCCTAGCCTGCCTGGATGAGGTAGTACACAACAAATACATACCGGAGGCACCTACTTGAATGGTTTTGCTAATATCAAGCAGAATCTACTAATTCCTGAATATTTCCCTTTTACATATATTGTACAAAGATGTACGAGTAGTCAAGAACTACTCATACTAACTAGATTTGGAGGAGAGAAATGTTCAACTCCCCACAGATCTTTTCAGGAATATTAGTAAGATGGGTAAGAGATTGGGTTACTTGTATCATAGCGGCGTGACCTATACCGGCTAATGCTATCCAATGTTGGCCCAAAAACTCTTCGGCTGTATTCATAATTGTTGCCACTGGAGAGAGATCCATACTCACTAGTTTGGTCAACTACGCGGTGGGTAACTGGCATTGAAGTTAAGGATTTTAAAGGGGAAAACAATAGTTCAGTAATCTTGGATTATATTCTGGTAACAAAAACAACTTTGCGAAAACAATGTCACAATGTCTACCTAGAATGAAAAAAAGATGGGCAAGTAAAGCAAATACATTACCTCGGGAGTAATTTACAGGGTAATCTGAAATTCGGCTAGGTGTTGATATCCTAGCAGAGTGCTGAGAAATTTCTGTACTATTCATTGGCGCAGGGTGGGGCCTCGATCGGTGAGAAGAATTAGATGATGGTGTAGCCACTGCAGAACCATTTGGAGTTGGTTTGTCTTGGCCAGATATCTGTTGATTAGTAAGACTAAACATGTCATTCATAAATCCCATCAGAAATTAAGAGAATCGGTTATCAGCCAAAAAAAACTATGGTACTATGTTACATAATATGCTATCCCAGGGACAAGTGGGACATGTAAGTTCAAAGAGCTGCACCTACACATTCAGCTATTGTTAATACTAAAGTCACATAACAATTAGGCTTCTGAGGTTATGAGAAATTCAAAAGAATACAAATGAGTTACTTGAACAAAATCCAACTACCAACAAGGGGTATAGAACAGACCGCAAATTTCAGTGTTCTGTTGTAAAGCGTCACCAGGCCTGAGAAAAGCCTGACAGCATAATCTGCAATCTCCTCACTTTCATATTCTGCAAAGGCAAATCCTTTAGGTTTCTCAGATTCCTTATCTCTAGGAATATACAGGTCCACCACTCGTCCTGCTTGAATTAATATATCATATAAGATTCTCTCCGTGACCCTCTCATCTAGATTGCCTGAGTTAAATGAAAAGAACTAAATCAGCTCTTCACATGCATGAGTTAGATATATTTTCAGATAATCCGAAAGCCATTAACACTTGAATTGGCAAAAGAATAATAGAAGAGTCACAAGAGGTGTTTGGTATACCATGACTTAGACACAATAATATCTAGGATAACATGATATGAGGAGCCAAATTATTCATAATACTTAAGTTTGGAGTGAAAATTGGTGGTATTTTATATATCTTGTACACATGAGAAAAATATTTGCAAGCTCTAATTAACTTTTCAAGATCCATGCAGAAGTATTAGTACTCAACAATAAGTTTGGAGTGTCAATTAGATCCAAATTCAAACCATAAATAGATTTAAAAAAAAAAAAATCTTTCAAGGCAATATCACTGACGTTTTAACATCCATATGGCCAGTATAAAAAGACTAGCAATATGTTTAGCAGGCAGTACAGACATCACATACACAATCTCATATCAAAACCCGAAAAAGATTTTTAAAACAATTTCCTGTCCTAGTTGGGGATGGGTTGAGGACAAAAGGAAAAGAAATAGGGCCCTCACCTATGTAAACAGTGCAACTTGTGCTTCCAGACATCGCTGTATCCGGATCTGCTGTGTAAAGTGAAAACCCCCCACAATAAGGAGCAGTACCACCAAGAGCCCTTTCCTTCAGAGACAAAAGGCAATCAACCGTAAAAGAGTACTAGAATCTGTTAAAAAAAGGTTAATAAGCTTCATAATAGATGCTATTCTGAATCTGAACTTGAAAAGTGAAGAAATAAGCAGTGAAAAGAGTTTCCACAATTGGTTCTCAGAAAAAATACTCATATGAGGACATAATTCCAGAAAATTTGAAACTATTCAGAACTTGATTTTACAAGAATAATACCAGCCATTACAAATCAATTCCAACTGCTACAGCTATAATAAATTAGAGACCAGAATAATAACTTAGATGCAGATTGCTAAGCTTCATAACTGCTATCAGAATGTAATACCATTTGCTAACCGTTGCAGTTATTTCCATGTTATCAAAACAACAATCATTCCAAGCAAGGAAACCATGCTATTCAAGGTCAATTCCAGACAGGACAATGATTCATCTGCAGAGAGTAAATATTCTTATGGTCAAGATAGAATCACAGGGATAACACTTTGATAAAACAATGAAGGTCTGGGTCATCCTACTGATCAGTAGAAACATAGTCAGGGCAGTTACTACAAAGACGTGTTCAATCAAACCCAACAAATTTAGCTCTCACATCTCTCTCGATATGTGTGTGTGTAAATTTCTTAGGGGTGATTTTGCATCCAAAAAAAACTTATGACCGAATTAAGTCTCTCATTAAGATAACCTAAGGTAGTAATAGGTGGCAAAAGGCACCATTAAGACATTGAACCTCTAATTTGGACTTAGACAGACAAGAGAGGTTAAAAAGGCAAGCAGATAACTATAGGATGAAAGTGGTCCGACTTTAATCATCAACTGACTCTGTTTTACCAATTGTCTGCATTATAGTGACAGTGATCCGTGATGAATTTGTCCTTTTGTATATGTTTACAAAATCTTTATAAGACTAAAAACCTAAAAAAATAGTCTTTTAAAGTACGAATAACTATGTTATCATATTCTCTTAAATATACATGACTGGGTTGGATTTCGGAAGTTGAGTTTTTTTAATTTCCCATGTAGGCATATTACTTCTTTTATGCATGCTTAAGGTGGGATCGTAAGTTAACCCTTCTTTTGATGCTTTCAAACACAGAGGTGGGCTAAGACACACACTGGCGGTACAATGGAGAATTCACCAAAGCACTGGCCTTTGGCACCTGATTAAAGGCACTGCTCCTCATGATAAAAAAAGGCATTAGCCATGAACAATAACGCTAGCCACGAAAAATACCTCAACTTAGCATCTGACATGACCCGTAATCAATAATGTATAGAATAACAGAGTGAAGTACAGAAATTCAAAAATTCAAATTTCAAGTTATCAGTTACAATAGACCAAAATTTAAAAATATGTCTGATGCACACAAACCAGCATTTTATAAATAAAATGAGCACGTCAGATGTCTCCAGACAAAAATCGGAAATCAAGTTCTAAAACATCATCCTGAAGACCCTGAGAATTACAGTAACAACCCAAATAGTAAAAATCAAATGAATCAGGAGACAGTTCACCAGGAATGGAAGACCTAATTACAATTGCTAGCAAGTTGCATAACAGAAACGCGATACGTGACAAAAGCAAAAGGAAAAAATACGTTGAGTTCAAGGATTAGGAAAAAAAAAAAAAAAAGGCTAAACAATAGTAATTGGCGAGCGAGATGACATTAAAGGGCACGATTTAACTATAAATTATGAATCAGTGAAAATACGGAGCCAGGGATCATGTCAAAAAAACCAAAAAGAAAAAAAAAAGAAAGGGGAAAAGAAAAGAAAGCAAGAAAGTAGCTAGGGTAAGAGATAGGAATTACGCGAAGAGTTGGAGGCTCAAAAACCACGAGAAAACCCCAAAGACGAGTCGTTCCAGAAAAGCGAGATCGAGATGGCAAACAGGTGGCGATTGGTTCCGGAACGCGGACTATCGCAACTTCCGATCTTCACTGTTTAAAGAGTTCTAAGGCCCCAAAACTATCTAAAAATAAAGGGCCGACCCCGTTTTATGGCCAGCTCAGACCTGTTTGAAAAAGAAGAGGAGGAGGAAAACATGAATATGTACGTCTACTTGAGTACGACTTAAAGTTTGAATAATCCAAATCAGCATTTAAAAATTATAGGAAGGGAAATTCTTTTTTTCTTTTTTTGAAAGAATATAACTCATTTCACATCGGAAGTACAAAGTTGGAGTGGCGAGGTGTATGGGCAATCTGAGTAATTAGGCGATTTTACACACAGCAGTCGTATTCACGCAGCCTATAAAGCTCCGCCCCGTTCCGCCGGAAAGTGTCTGGTACGCTTCCTCAATCTCCATCTCCAATTTCTTCATCAGTTTTTCTTTCTTCTTTGTATTCTTAGATTACCGCACTTTTTTTAAAAAAAAAAAATGTGAAGGTTGTGGGGAAAATTTTCCTTTCTCGAAATTTCGACTTGACAGTTTCTTTTCATTTTCGACATGGCTACTCCCTTTTTTTTTTTTTTTTGTATCTCAGCACTTCTGTGGTACTTGATAATGTGTTTTTACACTTTGAATCTTTACTTCTTTTTATTTTTTTCGGTGTTCCTCATTTCAGCATAACTCGTAGTAGAAATATCTGTACATTGACATTATGCTTTTCCAGTTTGGATTAATGGTCATTTTCTGCTAGTTTGAATTCACAGGTCAGTCGATTTCAATGTTGTTTATGACGCAGTACTGTTTTCACCTTGCTGTTGATTTTAGCACTTCAACTGTTTGTTTATTTGCCTATGACTCTGAGGAAAGAAATATCGCCAAATCCAAATTTTTTCATGAAATCTTCTTATGTCTAACTCATGGTGCTTCAGTTAGAACATTTTAAAGCTTAATATAGAAGTTTTACCATCCTTTTCTACTTTCCTTGCAAATTTTGCTTACTAATGTTATTTGCACAATTGAAAAGAGGTTTTGCTTTGGATATATTTGTTGGGACATTCGGGCAGCTAGATACAAGAAAGTGTTTGATGATGAAGAAGATGAGAATGATAATTATAATTGTTTTAGTTTCTTTAGCGCTTGTTGTGATTATGATCTCCTCAAGAGAGCTCCTTTTCTTTCTTTTTGAAAAAGGTATCGCTAGATCAAATAATAGAAATATCAGTGGCTTTGTTATTTTAAAAACAATAGTTTGACTATAATAATGGACAATCAGGTTGTGGTGAAGTTATTTGGGATGAACATTAGACATGGATCAAACATTTTAATTGCAAACTTCTAAATGTTCCGCCCAATATAGTTGAAGTCATGGAATTATTCATGATTTAAGTCTCTGTTGGCAACTTAGTTATAGGAAGATAAATTTATTTTCCGTCTGTGTGGAAGTAGTGCTTATGATGACTTAAGGATGTAAGGAAAATTATCTATTCAAAGATATCATAATTGATGCACAATCTCTTATCACAAAAATTAACAGTCAATGTTCAGCATTTGTACTATGAAAATAATGTGCATATTGATTATTTTGCTAGGAATGCTTTTAACTTTAATGAAGCCTTTTGTATCTTTGATCATCCACCAATCCCACTTGTAGGTTTGGTGGATGATAGGGGATCAGCCCCTTAGATGAATTGTGACACTGTGTAGCTTTTTTAGGCTTCTATTTTTAGTATAATTTAAAAAAAAAAGAGATTTTATAATACTTTAAAAAATTTCTTTCAATTTATTAGCTTAATCATGGTAAAAAAAAAAGAATCTACTATTATAAACAAAAGATAATTAATCCCTTTTTAAAACAACTCTTAAACTTGAAAAGCATTATCATGATAAGAACAAAGATTATCATAGTAGAAAAGAATAAAAGATCGGTTATAGAATATAAATTATTTTTAAAAATGATTATAATGATAAATAGAATTTAGTTTATTAGACACACACTTTCAAAAGTTAAGATCCCAAGTATTTATAAATAAAAATAAGTATAAAAGGCCCATATATTTAAAACTATACAAACAAAATAAAATAAAAATTTAGAAGTTGTTATATATTTTGAAAACCTTTGAAACATTTTACAAATATTTTTGAATATAAATATATATCAATCCATACAGTTCAACATACAATGAATTATAGTTAGATTACAGCCATTCAACAAAATTTATATAAAAAATTAACATAAACACATATAATATTTGGTTTAAATTCGCACAACACAACATCTTAATTAAATTTAATCTCTTACATGTCATTAGACCAAAATATATTTTTTCTAATCTTATACTCCCAAGATGCAAACCAAAAGCCAATAACAATTAAACAATTTAAATCATTTCCAAAACAAGCAAAACATGTGGCCCTACAATCATACAATTTCAAACCATCAAAAATAAATCAAACTTCAAAGTTATGACCATCTAAAGTGTATCATAAACAAAATTAGTTTGAAAGGCATGATTACATCAATATATTTATATAATTGTCAATAAACAAAAAAGCTTTAGCATGGTAATAGTGCATCATAAAAATCATAAATCAAAGTGCCTAAAAGAGGTAGTGGGATCATGCCACTAAGTCTCATAGGCTCCTCCATATGCCACACTTGACTCTTTTCTTAAAATTATTAATCATGTAATGAAACTCAAAAGTACTAATAACTCATGCTAATTTATAATAATGTTTACAAATAGTTATACATGAGCTTATTTAGTGGGGGACATATAACAATAACAAACTTTAGGCATATATAAGATATTATATTGCAAGACAAACAATCACCATTTTCTCCCTCTATTAAACTCGAGCCGTAGCCCTCATTGGTATTAAATCACTGGCTAAAGGTAGACTAACCTGAGTCTTTATAAGCCACTTATTAGGACTCTAATAGGGGTTTACCACGTGACATAAAAAAACACTACAATAACAACAATAATTCTCTCTACAATTTTTCTCATTTATAATATAATATTTCATTTGGCAAAAGCATTTTAAAATGCATATTTATGATTTCACAATTTTATAATAACCATATCCACAGACTTTCTCTATAACATCTCAACATATTTTCACAATAATTACACAAATAACAATAGGTAACATTAAACAAATTAAAACATAATTACTTTACAGCTTCAACAACACTTTACCCCTTACAACTTCTCTTCTTCCATCATCTATACTAACAATACAATTTACACAAGGTTTGTTATTATCATATATTATTTTCAATTGTTAAAATCTATAAAACAACTATAACCATAAAATTAGAGTATATAGCTTACATTTTCAATTTTATTATTTATACTATTTCTAATCAAGGTTAGTATGACTAACCAAAATTCTAATAAATTATAAACATCAACAAGCTATAAATAACCTCTAATTTACTTTTAGTAATACCATTTTCCTCTTTTCCATTTCATAAATTCACACAGAAATACCCCATGAATCAAAAATTTAGTCTCATGCTATGAATCATCATTTTAGCATCTTACATTCATGTTTCTAAACCCAAATAAACTCCTAATCATCACACCAAAAAAAATCTCAATTTTCTTCAAACTTTAATTTTCTTTAAACTTTATTTTCTTTTAAAAAATTTAATTTATTATCACAAATAAGGTTCTTCATCCCAATCACATTCCTATATTTGAATAACCTTATTTCACTTATTAAAACTAATAAACAACAATAATTTTCTCAAGTCATCCTCAATATCAAAATTCCAACATTGACAATACTTACAAAAATCACAAATATTCACACTCAATGATAAATCTTAAAACCAATCCTTTTAATCTCAAAATAACATCCATTAACCAAAAATAAACCATTAAATTCGAAATATATCACCACAACAAATATAAATAACAAACTTTCAATTAAATTCTAACTTTAATTCCTCAAACAACTAATTCAACAAAATCCACACCTTACAAGCTCTTATTCCAACATTATTAGTTCCATTTAAAACTAAATAATCAATTAAAATATTCAAAAACTCAAAATCTATCAAACTCTAGGCTTTTTACCATCAAGAAATTCAAAACTAAAGATAAGTAATGAAGAAAAAAATTAGAACACTTGCATAATCTTACAAAGGTTCAAATCACACTCAAAATATCCCATTATGGAAGCTAGTTTCATAAATCTCTCACTCTTAGTCTCACCCACTCGCTAGCGCACTAGAAGAATAAAGGAGAAGTAGAGCACAAGGGGAGTCAGGAATAAAGCTGGTAATTCGAGCGGGATGTTATAGGTTTGAGCATAATGAAACATATTGTGGTTCCTATTATGGTGCTAAAGTGGGATGTTGAGATCTTTTAATACGTTGTCTTATTTACAAGGATTGGATATTGTTTTGAAAGTGTGTTTACCGAAGACAAATGATATATCTACTTCTTGATTGTATCCACAAAATCTTAAGCACTATATATTTGATCTAATTTAGTAGTTGTTGATATCAATTTTTACCTCCCGACCCTCTTAATCCTTCACTCTGTTTTGTAATAATTATTTTATTGTTGGAAAATTACCAATGTTGGTTGCATACATTTGTCTTGTGCGAGCTGAATTGGTTTGCTAGTATATGTGATAAATAGGACTCTTGTTATGTATTTCTTTGATAGTTTGGTTGAGAATTGACAAATAATTGCAGAATTTAACGAATAGTATGAAATTCATATACAATCTTTTTGTATATCATCCTTTTCTTTTAACTTCTCTTAGAGATACATATTACTTTTTTTTTAATGTAGAGAATACATATTGAGCTTTGTTGGTATTGTTTTGGAGAAAAAGACCTTTGCATGTAGAAGGAAATTGTGAGGAGGTGGTGGTTTTTTTGTGGTATGGTGTAAATTATACAGCACATCTCTTTACATGCTAGCTAGCACTGGAACTGGGATAAGGGGAAAAACTAATCTTGGAATTTTATTTGGTTTCAATATTCTATACTTTATTATTTGAAGAAAATAATAGATCAATTAAAATATTATTTCATTCATGCGATATATTATTTATAAGTCATGAATAATATATATTAGCTCACACTAGCACAATTTTTTATTTTGTTTGCTTAGGAAGAGCAACCCCCAAGGAGGGGTGAGAAGAGCTAGTTGAATTGAAAAAGCAAAAGAAGTGGAAATGAATATGTAGAGAAGGATCACATCAACAAGGTTGGTTTGATCGAATAGAATGAAATAGGAAGGACTTCAACATATAAGATACATACAAGCGAAAGAAGTGGAAGTAAATATGTAGGGAAGGATCACATCAGCAAGGTCGGCTTGATTGAATAGAATGAAATAGGAAGGACTTCAACATATAAGATACATACAGAGCACATGTTTTGTTAATGCCTTATCTTCAATGTAATTCTCTTCTCTCTTAGTCTCTTGCTATTCCCACTTGACACTTTTATTTTAATAATGTCTTCTATGTCTCAATTTTGCATCACGTACTCTGTTTGATCCTCGTTCTGATGCAAATTAGCTTAATTTTTGTTGGAGGCAATGGTAATTAATTAATTATAGTCTAACATATATGCTTTTAGAGAATGTACATAGCCAGTGAATGGGTTCTATGTGAACAAATAACTCTTTTTTTTGGAACTGTTGAAAAAATGCAATAATTGTAAGTTACATTGGCTTTGATTTTATTTTTTATTCCTTTTTCATATTTTAATCTGAGGGCCATAAAATGTCACTGAATCATGTAACTTATGTCCAAAAGATCATGTAAGTCTACACAACAAGCTTTATGTTCCATATTTTTTTGATGGTGCATTATTTTCATATCCTGAAGATATCTACTAGTTGATAACAAAGTTTTTTGTTACATATTATTTCATGAAATGAAACATATATCATAAAAATTGACGTGGATGCTAGTTATTAGCCTTAGTATGTAAGTGAATAATGAACTTAGGGTGCAGGGCGATAGGCTTAATGTGCAAAGGAAATAGGCTTGGTGATTATACAAGGTAATAGGCTTGATATGTAAAGTGATAGGCTTAGGATGCAAGATGATAGGCTTAGCATAAAAGGCAATGAGCTTGGTGACTATTCAAGGTAATGGCCTTAAGGTGTAAGGTGATAAGCTTGATGTGCAAAGTGATAGGCTTAATGTACAAGGTAATAGACTAAGTGTGTAAAGTAATGGGCTTGGTGGTGACTATGCAAGGTGACAAGCCTAGCATATAAGGTGATAAATGTGAAATAGGAAAGAGGAGAACGAGAAGAGAGTGAAAGAGAAAGGAGGGGGGGAGAGAAAGAAGGAAGGAGAGAGATTGAAACTCTAAAAAAATTTATTTAATAATATTCAAAGCTGGATATACATTAAAACCCTAACTTTATTTATAAAGTTTAAAATGAAAAAATAACCCTAAAATACAAATCTAAATCCTTAATCTAATTTCTAAAAAATACTGATAAGATGATAATATCCTATTCTTATTACATAAATAAATCTAAGATAATGATAAAATAAAATAAAATCCTAATTCTAATGGATAAATATTCTTAATTGATAATCTTAATATCTTAAAAAAAACTCTAATTATCCTAATTAATCATTATCCCACATTTCATCAATAGGCATATAAGGTGATAGGCTTAGTGTGCAAGGTAATGTGCTTGGTGATTGTGCAAGGTAATAGGCCTAAAGTGCAGATGATAGGTTTAGGATGCATGGTGATATGTTTAATGTGTAAGGTAATAGGCTTGGTAACTGTGTAAGGTGATAGGCTTATGATGCAAGGTGATAGGCTTTATGAGAAGATGATAGACATAATGTGTAATATGATAGGGTGTATAAGGTGGTGGGCTTGGTGTGTAATTGAATTTTAGCATGCAAGTTGTTAGGCTTAGTGTGCAAGTGTGTATTTTTCAATTTTATTAGTCACAAAAGAACATGGAGAGGACCTTATTTTTCAAGAAATGTTAATAGGTATTGTGAAAAAACATGGAACAAAAAAATTTGAGTGGTTATTTTCATGATATCAGCGACTCTTTACTAGTTAGTCGGGACTCCAACAAATGTACTGTCACTTGCTGGCTGATCTGAGCTCCAAAAATAAGGTTTTGTGTGTTTGTTTTACAATTTATTAATTTTCTGAATATTATAATAAATTTGGTTCTTAAATTTTACTTAGTTCCTTGGTACAATTTTCCTTCCAAAAAGGAATTTTTCAGCAATTTTTCCCTCTGTAAATCTTTTTAATTTATAAATTGAATAGGTTTTTAGCTTTATTATCACACGCACAGTAATTATATATTTTTTTCATCAATATCTAATGAAATAAAAGAAGAAAGGGAGAATGACAAATAAATCCCTCTTAAATAGAAAAAATGACAATTTGAATCAATGAAATGTGATATTGACAGTGAGATCTTAAGTGACTTATTTGCAATTAAATTTTTGTATGAAATTATTTTAGTACCCCTATACAGCTAATTTTATATAGTTCACAAGTTTAGTATGAGTATTTGTAAGTTTGGTTTTATTAATGATTAAAATGATTTAGGAAATCACAATTTCCTTCAATAAGCAAAATTCAACTAATTGTATATTATTTATAAATTTGGTATAAATATTTACAAATTTAATTTCACCAATAATTAAAATGATTTAAAAAATTACAACTTTCTGTCAGCAAAGTCTAACTAATTTTATAATTCTTCTGATTTTTATTATAAGACACTTTTAGCTGTTTTACGCATATTAAGAAAAATTAATTTTTTATATTATAAAAAAAGTGAGATGTACTTTTTTTAACTAATGATTTTAAATAATGAGACAACTACATTAAATACTTCACGTTATATAAAAAGGGTAAAATTAAAAAAAGTAATTTAATTATTATAAGATATCTTATATTTTGGATTAAATTTAGAAGGTGTTTTGCAAATAGGACTAGATGGAGTATTGTTTACAAGTTTGACATAGGTATTCATAAGTTTGGTTTCACTAATAATTAAAATAATTTATAAAATCATAATTTTCTTCTAAATTGTAAAGAGGTATTAAAGTAATTTCATATAGAAATTTAATCTCAAAGGGATTTCTTAGACCTCACTATAATTATTCTATTTTGTGAGATTAAATTGTCATTTTTAAAGAAATTTATCTATCATTCTTTCAAGAAAAAAATTTGATTTCATTTTAAAAAAAATTATAATAAAAATTTAATGACATGTTTTACCGAAATAAAAAAATTAACAAAAAATTTTTGATTTAACTGATCAATAAAATTGAATTAGTTTATTCTGAAGTCAAGTTCAAAGATATGCCAGTAAATTTTCAAGATTCTCCATATATTTTTCAGGAGGTGACAATATTTCCAAATTTCTGGAACGCCAAAGGATGGAATAAAAAAGTTATTTTTCTCTCTAACAATCAAGCTTATATATATAGGGATTAAAATAAATAAATAATTAAAATACAATCATTTCCCCTAGTTAATTGCGGATAAAAAAACAGGATTATCCACCTCTCCCCCGCCAGGCTGTTGGTTGATGAAAGGGATTTCTCAAGTGGCTTTGTCTCCATATTAGGGGTGTTCACGGGACGGGACGGGACCGGGACACCCCCGTCCCGTGTCCCGTCCCGAAAAAAGATCGGGACTGAATTTTGGTCCCGTGTCCCGTCCCGTCCCGAAAGTCGTCCCGTCCCGTTAAGAGTCGGGACGGGACCGGGACAAGATCGGGACGTCCCGCCGTCCCGATAAATGAAATAATATCGAAAAAAGATCTGGATAATAATGTTCATTAAAATTTTAAATTATATAATTTATTAAGTTTAAAATCAAAATAACACAAGTACATAAATAACAATAATTTAAAATCAATTATTGAATTATTTTAATCACAACTACATATTATAATAAAAAATACAAGTGATCTTTATGCTATAAAATTAGCAACAACAGGCAAGTCAAATACAATATCAAATAATTGTTCTTCTACTTTAGTGAAAATATACTAAGCTAGTTACTCTTCTAAAAATAAGCAAGAAGTATGTTATAAATAAAAGTTATTAAATAGATAGATATAAGAATAAATTATATTAATATAATTAATATATTATAAAAAAGATATCGCCATGTTTACTCCATACCATTAAAATTATCAATATAAAAATACTTTAGTTTTAAATAAGAATTGTAAGTATTAAAATTATAATTGATATAATTAATATAAGTATAAATTATATTAATATAATTAATATGTTTAAAATAAAAAATAATATATATAATATTCGGGACGGGACGGGACGTTCCGATGGTAATCCCGTGTCCCGTCCCGTCCCGAACCCCTTTCCTGTCCCGTCCCGTAAAGTCCCGTCCCGATTATTTTCCGGCCGGGACAAGACCCGTCCCGATATGATCGGGACGATACCGGGCCAATCGGGACGGGTCCAGATTGAACACCCCTACTCCATATAATGTTGGTTAATTTGTGAATATATTCTTTCTGATCTTATTTATAAAATAATTTTTAAAAATAATTTTTTATTTAAAATATAAGATATTTTATAATAATTAAATTATTTTTTATAATTTTATCTCTTTTTGATTAACACAAAAATATTTAATATAATTATATTATCATTTAAAGTTGAGAATAAAAATAAAATATATCTTATATTTTTATTATATAAAAAATTTTAAAATATAAAAAATAATAAAAAATGTTTTATAATAAAAATAGAAAGAAGTATATCCCTAGGCGCAGGAAAAAAAAAAAAAAAAAACAGGATTCCCAGTGCCAGTCTTCCCCTCCTGGTGTGCTACGGGGCGAGAAGACTATTCCACCAAACTGACTATTCCACTAATGTGGTGGAAACGACGAGGAAGACGGCAGGCTTTGGAGTTTGGACCCGACTCCTTGGACTCCATTCCCATGCATCTTCTGGTCCTTTCCATCTCCTTCTCTGCTTTCTAAAGCACAGATAGAATCATAGCATATTCCATTCTCGATCTTGCCCTTATCATCATGTCGCAGAAACCCATTAACACAGTCACAATTGCACTAATGCTTGGTTTCAGTTTCTTCGTAATCTTCTTCGGTTTCCTCCAGTCTCCCTCTCTATCACCTTCACGCCAATCTCTCAACGACCCCATCACTTCAGAGACCACGGCGTCACCAGAAGCCTTCTCCGATCTGGCAGGTGCCTTCAGAAAATGGGATTCTCAGGTGGGTTGTTCCACGTTCAAGGAGAGATACGATGAGACGAAGCCGAATAAGTCGACGGGTCCTTCTCCTTTGCAAGAGATTGGAGGTGATTCCAAATGTGAGGGCTTGAAATTGAATCATGTCAGCGTTTTGGTGAAAGGCTGGACTTGGATTCCGGATAATTTAGATAATTTGTACTCCTGCCGATGTGGATTAAGCTGCTTGTGGACTAAATCGCTGGTTCTTGCGGACAAGCCTGATGCGTTGTTGTTTGAAACGACTTCGCCTCCGATTCTGGTAGGTCTTTGATTGAAAACGTTTTATTTTTTATTCTATCAGATTAGCTGAAAGTGGATGTGGTAGGTTTCTTTACAATCAAAATATTTTCACATGTAATATGAACAGTCCATGTTTAGCAAGGACGATAATCATGAGTTAGTGATGGTGTAATCGACCAAGTGATCTCCTTAGCCAATAATTTTTTAGTTGTTTTTGTTTTACTTGGGTGTTTCTAATACGTGTCCAATACTCTACATGACAAGATACTTCAAATTGTATTAATTAGTTATATGCATCTTCTTATGTGCTTCCCGTGTCAGTATGGGATCAGTGGTGCTTCCAAGGTCTATTGGAACACGCAGTTGTCTGTCTAATGTTTTTATTTTTATAGTTCATATTTAACTGAGAGTTGTCCATATAGTATTGTTTCCCATATGAGTCAGTATCAGATATTGGTGCTTCTAAGTTCCTAGGTCTGCTGGACCCCAATTCTGGCTGGGCTGAGGATTTTTTTTGTTCCAAAGAAAACATACAGTTGTGATTCTAAATTTCTAATGTTTATATTATTAGAGATGCAGTTTAGATCAGTGTCAAGAATTAAAAAGCTTTTTTCTTCATCTCCCACCGGCTACTCACTGGAATTACATTGCACAGAATTATCCTAGCATAATCATTCCGTAGATGCTGCTGTCATCAACTCTCTATGCGTATTGCATGTATGTAAAGGTGCAGGGAATTTATTGGCCAAAAAATCTTGATGCTGGAAATTTTGACGGTGATAATTCATGACTTGAACCTTATAGGAATTGAGGGGATAAGTATTAGTAAATTTGATTTATAAGTTGGCTTGGAATTAAGTACTATAATAGAAAAGTGAAGAACAATTTTAATGAAAGTTGGGGTTACTTGGGATTTTAATTACTTAGAGAAATCAGATAAAAGAGTTTACAGCTGCCATACATTCTTGAGTTCTTTTTGAAAGATGTTGCCCCTTTAGTTATACTCATGACAAATGGAGTTCTAAAGCAAACTGCCAGGTACTGAATATTTTGTTAATGAAATCTTAAGACTTGTGGTCCCAACTGTAGTTCAATAACAGCTATCTATGTTTCTAGTTGTCACAGGACGTAACTGTGGATAGTGTTGTTTTGCTTGCAATACAGGCTTTTCAATATCAGGAAACTTGAGATTGAAATTGTTCAAACACATATGCCTTTGGCAAAAAAAGTTAAGCTTTGTTGCCTGCATTGATCATCTTCTTGACCAGAGATTATTGACTGATGTTTTGAACTGCTTTGAAGTCATTGGCTTATAAAAAAGGCTCGCTTCAGCAGGTGTAGAAATTGCAATATTAGAAATTCCATTCTATTGTCTGTTACATGATATATGCAGTCTAAATTTGAGAATATCCTGAAGGCTGGAGCTTTATATATTTGAGGTCTTAGTTTAGCCTTTATTTATTGATTGATGATTGATTGTCTCCCAATGGAGTAATTCTTCCTTTCTTGCCAGTTAGAGATGTTTAACATAATCACTTACCTTCATAAATGCTTCTCCTCAGTCCTCATTTCATGTCAGGCTTTCAGGACTTTATTTTGTTGATGTTATGCACTATGTGAGATTCCACTTGGCTCACTTTTTCATGCCTGCTTCTTTTGATTTCAGAGGCGTATGGGGGAACCTCTTCGTGTGTACATGGATCTTGAAGCGGGGAGGAAGCGATCAGGTCAAGAAGATCTGTATATCAGTTATCATGCTGAAGATGATGTCCAGTCAACCTATGCGGGTGCTCTGTTTCACAATGGTCGAAACTACCTCGTTTCACCTTATAAAAATGATGTAAGTAATATGTCATGTAAGAGTGAATCAGAATGTCAAGAATAGTATCTTGCAGTAACTTGGCCTGATTTTTCATTTATAGGATGTACTTGTCTATTGGTCTTCATCACGATGCCTTTCTCAAAGGAATGAACTTGCCAAGAAACTCCTCAGCTTGCTACCTCACCATTCATTTGGGAAGTGCCTAAATAATGTTGGTGGTCTGGACATGGCTCTATCCTTTTACCCCGAGTGTGCGAATGATGCCAATGTTACCCCAAAATGGTGGGATCATTTACACTGTGCCATGTCTCACTACAAATTTGTTCTTGCAATCGAAAACACTTGGACAGATAGTTATGTGACGGAGAAGTTATTTTATGCCTTAGACTCTGGTGCAGTTCCCATTTATTTTGGTGCACCAAATGTCATGGATTTCATCCCTCCACATTCAATAATAGATGGTACAAAATTCAGGTCGTTGGAAGAACTGGCTTCGTATGTGAAGGCCCTAGCTAACGACCCGGTGGCATATGCAGAATACCATGCATGGAGGAGGTGTGGTGTGTTGGGTAACTATCGAAAAACTCGAGCATTGAGCCTTGATACACTACCATGTCGGTTATGCGAAGCTGTTAGCAGGAGAGGAGGAAGAAATTCAAGAGACTAGGCCGAGTTCTTTTTCAGAAATTGTAGGACTTCATGTTAGTGATGCAATGAATTCCGGTCGGACAGGCTGTATAGAGGCTAATTTGTTATAGGATTAGATCGCATAGAAGGCTTAGCTCACGTGGTAAAAAAATCACTCGGCATTATTTTTCATTCATTCTTTTTTTTTTTTTACTTTTAACCCGCCCTTGTGAATCCAGGTTACTTTATAAGTTGTTGATGATGTATCATTTTCAAATTGTACATTTGCAAAACTGGGAATGTGAGAACTTTTTGCAGTTCATAGATGAAGTAATATTAACTGTATTTCTAATGAATAGTCAAATAAGTAGTATTGAAAGTCAAAATTAAATTGTCAAGGCTTTGGATCTTCATATTTTTATTTTAGTGAAAGTTACATCCAATGACTCTAAATAAAACATGTTAAGAAATCTTAAAAGCTGTAATTACTTCCAAGGACTAAAAATTACTGTTAGGTTCGACAGACTTGTAGGGTTTTAAGAATGTTGGTATCAAGTATTTAATAATGTTACAGTTACGTGTAACTTTCCTAAAACTTTACATTGAGTCTCTAATGCCTGATATTAAACTTTGGTTATTGGGCTAGTTATAATTTTTAAGATAATCTCTTGCGAAATTTTTGAGTCCTTAAATGGAACTTTCCCTTTAATTTACCCTAGTGCTGTTTAAACCTTAAACTATATAACCTACTGTATTAGCTTTAGTTTCACATTATATTGACACAATTTTCTGTAACCACCCATAGTTTATCTCTAGAACAAGTGTTATGAGGATGGTGGGGCCCAAATATTCCAAAAGAGTAGTTTTTCTATCATTTTCTTTTCTGAAACACCAGTTTCCCTTAAAATTCTTGAGTGGAAGTGGCTAATTGCTGAAAAACCTTAGCAGACACCTATTTCAGTTGATATCCAAGCTATTTCTACAGTTATGAAGAAGACCTTTTGAGATTGATTCAATCTTAAAGAATTTAGTTGATCAATAATCTGAACGTAGAAGATCTAATGAAGATAGTGAAGAAATAGGAGGTGGGGCCTACTAGAGCTTGGAAGGCAACATTCTTGCGTCTAAAACCCCAAAAACATGCCATGGTTCAATAGATCTAACGTCCAAATCACATGGAATCTTGGGTAGCTGAAAAAGAAAGGAGCTAGTTCAAATAAAATGCAATAAAGAGATAACAAAAAATGGAAATGCTAAAAACAAAGATACTACTCCTTCTAGTCTTAAATATAAAATTAACTAATTTCACGTTCAATAAGAAATGATAGTTATATTTTTAAAATTTGAAAAAATATGTAAATTTTTAATTTTATTTTTTTTTTTTGCAATTTATAAATAACCATAATAAATTTTTTGTTTAGAAATGCAAATGATAATAAATAAATAGGGGCAAAATTGGAAAAAAAATTAATTACTCTAACTTTATTTTATATTAAGGATTAAAAATAACTTTCAAACCATGCCTTAAATTAACGACCGAATGGAGTACTTCATATAGCACTTGCTTTAACTGAAACCTTGATAGATTTTGCCTTGCTTCAATTTTTTCTCTAGATTGGAAACTGAATCCAAATTAACTGCCAATAGGTGGTGGTTCATCCTTAGAGTAATCAATGTTCTCTCTGTTCAAAACCAGAAGAGCATTACATGTTTTCTGCATAACATTTGAATTCTCATTTTCACTTTGAACCAGCTGTTACATCCTTTTATAGAAAGTTAAAATTCCAAAGAAACCAAAGTGATTGCCTTCTGGATCCTAGTCTTTGTGAAACTTCCAAACTGAAGCCACTATCCCACTATAAGCGGAAGACTTGGACTTCACAGTACATTGAATCTGTAGCATACAAAACTCATCTGATTGAACATCTAGATCATTAAAAGGAAAATATATATATATACCCTGCAAATTTGTAATCCTTTCTCTTACCTTTGTTTTGCTCTTTTGGCTCTTTTGGCACCTTTTGAACTTCTTCAAATCATCAGGTCTGTTCTTGAGATATTCCTTCACTTGCTGATTGTTCATGGATTGCATCATACCAACCTGTGAAATAATACAGAAGCAGAAAACCTTTTGAGTTCTACAGGAGTATTGGTTTGCTCAAGTAGCATATAGATTAGATTGAAGGAAACTTGCAGTGAGAAGAAATAAAAAAGGAAGGAAGAACAAGCACCCATGTTTCAAGGTTGTCTATGTCCCTTCTCAGGTCCTCTGCTTCCTTATCTGCAACTTCCTTCTTGTCCTTCCATGACTGTACCTTGGCCTCTTTTACTTCTTTCTTCTTGTTCTTTCCTCCACCGCCAATATTCATATTGTTTCATAATACAGGCCATAAAGCAATTCTAAGCAGTTAAATAGAACGAGAAAATTTATAAAATTTTTTCTGGGGAAAAAGGAAATAACAAATTCAACTGAAGTTAGTCATTTTGTCATATAGGTTACTCGTTTGAGTTTGTTAGCTCTAACAATATCAAATAATATTTTTTAAAGTAACTCGTAGTTCAAATTATCGGTTAAAGTGATTAAACAGAAGCCTTAGCCAATGAATTTGCTTATTTGGTCAAATGATAACTGAAACAGCACGTGGCTGAAAAATTCCCAGGTTCCAATACAAACGTTAATGGCAAAATGACTCAAGTCAATGTATCAGGACATGTTCTGTTATAACATTAAAAATCTACATGCCGCACACAGTGAATCCCTAATAAGATCCTTTTTTTTTTAAACAATGATGAATGATAAAAATCACAAAAAAAAAAAGGTGTTAAAAGTGACCAAGGAAAGTACTTGTTGCCCTATATAATAGGTAACCATTCATCAACAATTCTATCAGATACATAATTCTATCATCAAGTAATCTCAGATACAAACCGTATCCAACAACAAAGAAACCCAAAACATTAAACATATCAGACACACACACACACACACATATATACTTAGTATAAAAAGGTTTACACAGTGAGTTAGAAACAATCTCAATTTGGAATCCACATCTCTTCCTCCTTTTCTGCCAACAAGCACAAACATATCAGACACATACATACTTATCCGAAATGTTGACTTCACCTACTTGTTCAAACCCATGTCTGATGAAATTTTACAGGGACTTGTGGGGTCTGTTGCTTCTGATTTTCAAAATGTCAGCCCTTCAACAAAATTAGATGAAATTTCTCTGATCGTTAGCTGAAATGAAGGGCTAAGACTTCGAACATTAGGAGACAATAGAGAAGACAACAGACACCCAAATCTAGTTTTTCAGAGAGATTTAATTAGATTAGAAGCAATGTCAATTGGAATCTGCATTTCTTCCTCCTTTTCTGCTAATAAGTTCACAAAGCCTACAAGGCAAAGAGTCAAGGCTAAGCCCTCTGGTCATGGCATAGTTGCCCAAGAGGCCACACCTTCTCCAAGCATGATACTCCGCGTAAGCCACAGAGTCATTAGCCAAAGCCTTGACATAGAGAGCCAAATCTTGCAGCGTCGTGAACTTAGAGCCGTCGATGACGGAATGAGGCGGTACAAAGTCATCGATGTTGGGAGCTCCGAAGTAGATGGGGATGGCAGCAGAGTCAAGGGCGTAGAAGAGCTTCTCGGTGACGTAGCTGTTAGTCCAGGTGTTCTCAATGGCGAGGACGAACTTGTAGTGTGACATGGCACAGTGAAGGTGGTCCCACCATCTTGGGGAAGAGGATTGAGTGCAGTGAGGGTAGAAAGAGAGGACCTTGTTTCTGCCATTAACGTTGTTGAGGCACTTGCCGAAGGAATGGTGAGGCAGCATGGAGAGAAGCCCTTGCGCCACCTTGTTCCTTTTGGATACACAGTGCGATGATGACCAGTACACAAGTGGTCCCTGAATAATGAATAGTGCAATTCATTTATCAGATTCGATGCAATTAGGGGATAAAGGATTCATTAATAAAAACTCACGCTGTTCTTGTGAGAGGAAACGTGGTAGTTTCGATTGTTGTGGAAAAAGGCTCCGGCATAGGTTGTCTGGATATCATCATCAGCATGATAACTGATGAATATGTCCTCACGACCTGTTCTTTTCCTCTCTGGTTCTAGATCCATGTATACTCGAATTGGTTCCCCAACCTTCCTCTGATCAATTAATTCCACAACATCAATCATCAAAATTAATACACATACACACACAAGTGCATGTGAGTCGTTCATTTTCTAACATTCATTGATCGATGTTAATTGCTATTCATTCCTAAGACCGAAATATATAACATCTTATGGATTAATTAACCTTTTACCGTTTGGCATATTCTCTGGTGGCTCATACACTTGGATCTCGTCATCAACAAACTGATCATTCAGGTCATTTTTCTAAATTAGCCTTGACTACTCTTTAATTTGTACATCTTATTTGTACATCATATTTAGTATTACTGGCAACTTCAATGTAACAAATTGACAATTTCAACAAAGAACACAAGACCCTAACTCCCTGTCTCAGTGGAGGGGAGGGAAAATTCATTCAAATTTTTTCTCCCCTCCCCCTTGTTTGGCAAAGTGGAGGGGAGTTCTCCCCTCCCCTTTAAAACCTCCCCTCCAAATTAGGGAATTTCTCTTCCTTCTCTACCTCTTTCTTTCCCTTCAATCAAATATAATATTAAAATATATAATTTTATAATTTCATGAAACATTTTTAATATTTATATTTTTTTTGACTTTGATTTTACCAAAAGAAAGAGGCATCAAATTCTGTGATTCAAATATACCATATATGAATAAGAAGAGATCACTTAGTTTCAGCTTATCAAAATTAAAAGACACTCAGTTCTCCGTTATAATTTCATAGGTGCTCTCACTAGGATGCAGATTAATTTAGCATACCTTATCAGTATTGTTCTTTCATTAAAACAAACGAAAAACATATCAATCAATCAAAACATACCCGACGTGGAGGCTTAGTTTTTTCAAACAAGAGAGCATCAGGATTGTCTGCAAGGACAGAAGATTTAGTCCACAAGCAGCTCAAACCACATCGACAAGTGTACAAGTTATCCAGACTATCAGGAATCCAGGTTGGCCCTTTCACCAATACACTCACATGCTTCATCTTCAACCCCTCACACTCTTCATCTGAATCTGATGCACCACCTCCATGAATCTCTTCCCTCAAAGAAGAATTCACGGCAGTATAATTCTGCAACAGTAGTTTCTTCTTATACCTCTCGCAACCCACTTGAGAATCCCACTCCTTAAAGGCACCAAGAAGATCTGTGAATCCCTCATGATGATGATCAGACATGGAAGCATTGTAATTGATGATGGTAGTGGTGAATGAAGGTAATGAATAGAAATAGGACGATGAAGGAAACTCGATGGTCCCAGCCGAGATCAACAGAATCAGCGCAACAAAACACACTACAGTGACTAAGCTCATGAGTTTATTATAACTAGGGGAACAACAACGTATCATCACCGCTCTCTTTCTCTCTACCATCTCTAAGCACGCGCGCATATATATATATATATATATATAAGTCAAGGATTATTAGAACAAAAGAGTACTGGATGCTTCAAAGATATATAGATGATACATACAAAGAAAATGTGGTCCAGATATGTGTAAGAAGCACAGAGATGGATCTGTAGGTTTCACAAGAGAGTGAAGGTAAATAGTATGTGTGATCGATTCGAGGCATGCAGAGAGGTTGGAGATGAAGAAGTTGATGTGCAAGCGCATCGATAATGGCGATTTGAGGCACAGTGCTTGCGTGCGTTCATGCATGCTGCTCCAAAAATTAGAAAATGACAATACCTAATAATATGAACGATATTGTGTCCTTCTTCTGATTTTGGAATGATCGAAGGAAAGAAACAGAGAGAAGAATAGTCAAATCACGTGTATCTAAACATGAATATTGACACGATATGTATTTATATATGTATGCAATATGTATGAGTATATTATCGGTATAGGGTTAATCTATATACATACGACCCAGAAAATGTTATGAGTGCAGAAATGTCAAAACCAGAGGAAATTATTGAGCCAGGTGATGATGATGGTAGTCGTATAATGAAGAGGAAGGAGATGATAGACTGAGTCAATATTGAGCAAGAAAAAACAAAAGACAAATCAAGTTCGTACATAATTCCAAGAATAGGTGCGGTGTGGATATCCGAAATTATAACTTTCTCGACCTTTTGGCTAAGATCAAGCGTGTAGAGATCCGAAATTAAGGCTTGTTGGCTTCTTGGAGACTTGATATTGATGATGATAATGATATATAGTGATAACAACATGCTAAGACTTGTTGATCAGTCGTTCTTGTGTAATTATCTCTACATTTGAATAAGTAAAACATAATAATGATTTTTTCATAAAAGATAGGTTGAAAAGCTATTTTGAGAAGTGAGAACAGCTTTTTTTTTCCCCTCTGGAATAAAAAAATGAAAAAAAAAAAGTTTTTTAACAACTTGTTTTAGAGAACAATATACATATAGAGAGAGAGAGAGAGAGAGAGAGAATGGTATTCCAGAAATTTGGTAGGAAAGGCGGAGAACAATGTTGCTTTCAACTTTTCATCAATGACATTGTTGTAAATAATGCAAACTTGCCTTTCTCTCATTCTTCTTCGACCTTGCAGAGTAGATGTTGTGCTGCCGTCATGATCTTCGCTCGTGAACCAGCTACCATTCTGATCTGCTTCGACCCACGTTGGGGAGTCCTCTTTTTTTTTTTGGCTAGCTTTTTTTCGTTACCAACCTCACGTCATATCGTTCGCCGAGCCGTCACCACTGTCGTTGTTCGTCGAGCCGTCACCAGTGTCGCCATTCGTTGAGCTGTCGCCACTGTCGCTGTTCCTCAAGGTAACCCTTTTCTTTTGATCTTTTCCATATCCATCAGTGAATCTCTTAGATCCAAAACATTCTTTATTTCATATTTGCCTTTCAACTTGTGTTTGCTTAGTCTATTGTCTGTGAGAAAGTCGGGCATAAGACGGAGAGTGATGCTCAGCTTGTCCTGTGATTCAGCATTATTGTAGGGCCCCCTTGTGCTTTTCCTCTTTTCATTATATAGCTAGGAATTGTCATAATATTCTAAAGATATCTTTGATCAAAAACCTCCTTTCTTAATAGGATGGTAATTGATCAAAGATTTAGTGTTGTTGCTTTTTTGCTAGATACTGCTACTGTTGTTGGTGGATTTCCGTTTCGTTCAAAAAAAAAGTAAAAAAATTGGGTCCTCCAAAAGATGACTTGGCCAAGTGTTGGGAGATAGAGCCCAAGCAAAATGACCATCCATCCTTTACCCACTACTACAGAATATATCTTTAGGAGCGGGTATTTAGGAGCGCTTATTTAAAAAGCGCCCCAAAATGTGAATGCATAATTTACCGGAGCGCTTTTCTAAATAAGCGCTCTTGTATGTCAGGCTTCACAATAAGATAACGCACCTAATTAATATATATAAAATATGATAAAAAATTTAAAAATACCTTCGGGAGCGCTCGTACTTAAGCGCTCCGGAAGACAGCAAGAAAACCTTCCTACGAAGCATCTTCCGGAGCGCTCTTCTTCGAGCGCTCCGGAAGATATAAGTCTTCCGGAGCGCTCGACGAAGAGCGCTCCGGAACAAGCGCTCTTCCAGAGCGCTCCGGAAGAGTCTTCCTACTCTTATATACATCCGTCAGTTTTCTTTTCTCCATTTAGTTTCTTTTATACCTCTCTCTCTTTTGTTGCCTCTCATTCCTTCTCTGTGTCGCGCCTCTCTCTTTGTTTCTGTGCTGCATTGTCGTCGCTATCACCGTCCTCCCCTGCATCGCCGTCGCCGCCGCCGTCACCGTCCTCCCTTGCGTCGCCGTCGCCATCCGTCTCCGCGTCGCCGTCGCTGTCCGATCTCTGCGTCGCGTCGCTGTCTGGTCTCTGCGTCACCGCCGTCGCGCCGTCGCTGCCTGGTCTCTGCGTCGCCGTTGCTACGCCTCCATCTGTTCTGCTGTTCCAGATCTGCATCTCTGTTCCAGATCTGTATTGCTGTTGCAGATCACCATCCATCTATTCTGCTGTTTGCTGTTTGCTGTCTGCTGTTTGCTGTTCCAGATTTGCATCTCTGTTTCGGATCTGTATTGCTGTTGCAGATCTGTGCTGCTGCTGTACACCGGAGGAAGGGACGCCGTGAAGACCTCCGTTGCCGCTGTGCGTCGCTGCTGTACAGCAGAGGAATCGACGTCGCTTCTGCAGTGAAGACTACACTTTGAAGGTATTTTTTTTAATAATTAATTTATATATATTTGAGAATAAATTTTAAATATTTTTTTAATAATAAATATTATAGAAAATATATGAATTGAAGTTATTTATATTAAAATTATGGAGTATTTGTAGTTGATAATTTAGATTAAATTTGAGGAAACTACTTGAACATTTTTATTTTATTTATGAAATATACTTTTATGAGAGATTATTGTTATTAATTAAATTACAATTGATTGACAGAATTTAGATACATTATGGTACTAAATTTTTATTTGGATGAATTGATTTATTTAGTTTAGATATATTGTGTTGTGAAATTTGATTGTTTGATCATTTGAGAGATTATTCTTTTAAGGAAGATACTGTTGAATTTTTTTTATAGAAATTTAAGTCTTTTGTTTATTGAATTTTGGTAATCATATTAGTGACATGGATCGTAAGTGGATGTCGGCTAATCGACTATCTAGAGAATATTGGGATGGTGTAGATGAATTCATTGAATTTGCATTTTGTCGTGATCAAGACCCCCGTGGAGTCATATGTCCTTGTTTGAAATGTTGCTATGGAAAAAGAGTAAAGCCAATAGAATTGAAAGATCATTTAATATGTAATGGGATTGATCCAACTTATACTTGTTGAACCATGCATGGGGAGAGAAGGAATAATGCAAGTGATTGGAGGGATAGTGCGAGCTACTCAACATTTGATCGTGATAGTGGGATATATGATGTTGACCGTCTTGATGAAATGATTGATGTGATTGAAGAGGATCTTAGAGACTGTCCTGAGATGTTTGAGAGATTGAAGAGTGATGCTGATAAACCATTATACCCCGGTTGTAAAAAATTCACAAAACTATCAGTTATTTTGAAACTATACAACCTAAAAGCAGCGAATGGATGGAGCGATAAGAGTTTCACGGATTTGCTTGAACTCTTATATGAAATGTTACCTGAGTACAACGAGCTTCCACCTAATACTTACGAAGCTAAAAAAGTGCTCTGTTCTATTGGGATGAGCTATGAGAAGATACATGCATGTCCAAATGATTGTGTCCTCTTTCAGAAAGAGTATTCAACCTTAGATAAGTGTCCAAAATGTGATGCATCACGGTACAAAAGAAATGGATGTAGCCCAGTGAAGGCATTGTGGTATTTTCCAATCATACCAAGATTTAGACGCCTATATAGCATTGCAGAAGATGCTAAACACTTAACATGGCATGCTAATGAGAGAATTAAGGATGGCAAGCTACGGCACCCTGCAGATTCTCCTCAATGGAAAAAGTTTGATCTTATATACCCTGAGTTTGGGGTTGAAGATAGAAACTTACGCCTTGCACTAGCCACTGACGGAATGAACCCACATGGCATGCAAAGTAGTACTCATAGTACATGGCCGGTTATTTTGATGATCTACAATCTCGCTCCAGCATTGTGCATGAAGCGCAAATTTATGATGCTGTCATTGTTGATTTCTGGGCCTCGACAACCAGGAAATGATATAGATGTGTACTTAGCTCCTCTGATTGAAGATCTGAAGATTTTGTGGGAGACAGGTGTGGAAGTTTATGATGGGTATAGAGAAGAACATTTCATCCTGCGAGCAATGTTGTTTGGCACCATAAATGACTTTCCTGCCTATGGCAATTTATCAGGATACAGTATCAAAGGACGAGATGCATGTCCAGTATGTGAGGAGCACACATGTTCAGTGCGGTTGGAACATTGTAGGAAGAATGTCTTTATTGGTCATCGACGATTTTTGCCGCAAACACATCATTACCGACGACTAAAGAAGGCCTTTAATGGCCACCCGGAGAAGGGTAGAGTTCCCATGCCATTAACTGGTGAGCAGCTTTTTGAAAAGGTCAAAGATTTAAATATTGAATTTGGAAAACCATTTGCAAGTAAGATTGTTAAGAATGGTTGGAAAAAGAAGTCCATATTCTTTGAGCTACCATACTGGAAGACCCTAGATGTTAGGCATTTCCTGGATGCAATGCACATCGAAAAGAATGTCTGCGATAGTCTTGTTGGCACATTACTCCACATTTCAGGAAAGAGTAAAGATGGAATTAATGCAAGGATGGATTTGATTAGCATGGGGTTAAGAGAAGAGTTGGCACCAGAGAGGAAGGGAAAACGCACTTTTTTACCTCCAGCAGCTCACACCTTGTCTAGAAAAGAAAAATTAGCTTTCTGTGAATTCTTGCATGAAGTTAAAGTGCCAGAAGGATATTCTTCAAATGTAAGTAGCCTCGTATCCATGAAAGACCTCAAACTAGTAGGTCTCAAGACTCATGATTGTCATGTCATCATGGAAAATTTATTGTCGGTTGGTATACGATCCATTTTGCCGAAGAAGGTGCGAGCCACGATTACTAGATTTTGTTTCTTCTTTAAGGCAATTTGTAGCAAGGTGATTACCCAGAAAAATTGCCAAAGCTAGAACATGAAATAGCTAAGATTTTAAGCGAGCTGGAAATGTATTTTCCGCCTTCGTTCTTCGACATCATGGTTCATTTATCATTTCACTTAGTTAGAGAGATAAAGTTGTGTGGCCCCGCTTATTTGAGATGGATGTACCCAGTAGAGCGTTACTTGAAAGTATTAAAAGGATATGTAAAAAATCGAAGTCGGCCTGAGGGGTGTATTGTTGAGAGGTACATCATGGAAGAAGCAGTTGAATTATGTACTGGATATCTCTCTAATGTGGATGCCATTGGGTTGCCAAAGTACACAAAAGACACCACAGGTGAACAGGGTGGAATCATTGGGAAGAAACTCATTAGCATAGACAAGACACAATGGGAGCAAGTTCACTTGTATGTTTTACACAACACTGAGGAAGTTCAACCATATATCAACGAACACAAGGCAATAGTTAAGAGTCAGAATAAAGGTAAAAATGAAACATGGCTAGCAACATATCACAACCGGCACTTTATATATTGGTTTAGATCTCGCATCTCTGAGGAGTCTCACCCATCAGAAAGGTTGAGGTTTTTGGCTAGGGGTCCTGGATTTGAAGTATTTTCTTATACAGGTTATGTAATTAATGACTTTACATTTTATACAAAAAGTCAAGATGCTCGGAGCACTATGCAGAATAGTGGTGTAACGCTTAAAGCTCAATCAATGCATGTCTCTAGTTTTAAAGACAAGAATCCAATCTATGCAATGATGTCATATTTTGGGATTATAGAGCACATTTGGGAATTGGATTATATCAAGTTTCGTGAACCTGTCTTTTGTTGCACGTGGGTTGACAATAAAAACGGCTTTCGAATTGACGAGTTAGGTTTTATTCAAGTAGATCTTAATAAGGTGGCTCATAAAGATGAACCATTCATTTTGGCATCACAAGCTCGACAAGTGTTTTATGTGTCAGATCCAGCGTATAAAAATTGGTCGATTGTTCTTTTAACAAATAAAATAGTGGGTAATGAGGAGGATGAAGATTTCAATGTTGAGGATGACCCTTTCATGGGAACATCACGGACATTTGATGTTTCAACTGGGGATAATGCCTTCTATATTAGAGAAGATCATGCGGAAGGGATTTGGATTGATGAGGGATATGTAGAACACACAAAAGAAAAAACAAAAAAAAGAAAAAATAAATTTTAACACTTGTAAGTTCTTTATTTAAATTTTCTTTTAATTGTTAAAAATTTATTTTTAGTTAAATTTTTTTTTGTTGTTAAAAATTTACATTTTTCCTTTCAGATATATGGCTACCCCACCTGAGAACAGTGGTGATGCTCCACCCACTGAAGAAGAAGCATTCAAGGAGGTTAAACGGGGTAAAACTGTTATGAAAGCAGTAATACGGGCTCGAGCAGCTGGTCGTAAATTACCAGTAAATTGGAATGATAGGGGCCAATTGGTTAAGTCTCCTCAGTTGGCCAGTTACATAGGGGTCTTAGCTCGTCATTATGTTCCCTGTTGCATTGCAGACTGGAGAAAGAAAAATGACCCACAGCTTGAAGAAGCAAAAAATAATATATGGGAAGATTTGTGTATATCTTTTGACCTGGATGAGAGTCATAGGCATTATATCATGAGAAAAGCAGCATATGCTCATAGAAAGTTTCGAGCTACCCTCACAACATATCATCTAAAAGATGCAAATGAAGAATTCAATCCTCATCCTCCTAAAATGTATCCAGAGATCCAGCAAGAGCATTGGGATGAATTTATTAAAATGCGCCAACAGCCTGAATTTCAACAGATCAGCCAGGTCAATCGCTCTAGAGCCGCAAGTACTCCTTTTCAATATAGAGCAGGAAGAAAGAACTATCCAGATATTGAACATAGTTTGGTGAGTTTCAATTAATATCGTCTGTTGATATTACTTATATATATATATATATATATAAGGAAATGTTTTTTAATTATTCTAATATCTTCTTTAAATAGAGGGAAGAAGTTGGACCTAATGCTCCAATTTCTCGAGCTCTTGTTTGGAAGACTGCTCGAGAAGATAAAGAAGGCAAATTACCTGATGAACGCACTCGAAAAGTCTGGGAGGATTGTGTGAGTATTAATATTTTAGTGTATTACTTTATTTACATTATTTACTTAATAATTAGTTTACAATTTGTTCAACAGGAAGCATTATCACAATCAATATCACAAGATGATGTGGGGGAGCATGTGGATGTCCTTGGTAGGGCATTGGGAGCTCCAGAGGTCTCTGGTCGTGTTAGAGGAGTTGGATTTGGTATTTCTCAGGGCACCTACTTTGGACGTCGGTCTAAAATTTTTACTGAAGATGATTTTAATGCAAGGATGGCAGAAATGGAGGCGAGAATGGAAAAAAAATTTCAAGCTCAAATGGAAAAGAGATTTGAGCAAATGATTGGAGTTATAAATATGCCACAAGGTAGCCCAGTGATAAAGATAGTTGCTCCTTCCATACTAAAGAAGACTTTCCTAAGGTTATAATTTTTCTTTCTATTATCTTCTCTTTATTCACAAATTATGTTTCACATTTTTTTAAGATATTAATTTTTAATTTTTAGGGCGAGTCTCAATGTCAATTATGGTTAGAATCACCACATTGTCGTGTTGTGGCAATCGGATCTGTGTATAATGATAATAGTGTTACTATACACTCCAGACCATTGCTTGCTGATCACTTAAAGGTGACTATAACTATTCCAATAGAAAATGATGCTGAGTTGCCAGTGCAAATAGAAGATGAGGATATATTCACGATTTTTGATGCCGTTGGAACTTATGTGGCTTGGCCTTCAAAGCTCATTAAGTTACAGGTATAATAATTGATGGTTCTTTAAAATCATTCATGTTTTCTTACGGCCTTACCAATCCATTTTACATCTTGTAGTCCTCAAAATTTAAAGAAGTTGTAAAAAAGCCAATCAAAGCGAAAGAAAAGCCATCGAAAGGATCTACCTCTGTGACTAAGGCAAGGAAGACCAGCACAGAATCTACTCAGTTGAAATATCCTCATCAAAATGCACTTGAAATGATTATGCGGACAACATTGAAAAATGAGATTCGTGAAGTAGAATTTGAAAAGGAGATTTATGGTGAAATAATTAGCGAAAAATTAGCAGCTGAAAATATTAACGAGATTCTGACCAAGGATTGGCTACAAACAACACAAATTAGTTTATACATCAGGTACTTTCTCAATTTTATTACTTATTGTGGTATTTATTTAATTTTAGTTGTGAATGATTCTATTTTTTTTTCATTTTAGGTACTTATATCATACTTTTGTGGTGCCGGGCTCATTGATAACAAAATTTTCATTTATTAGCCCGCACAACACTAGTACCTACAGTGTTGAGTACCATTCTCAAAAGATTACTGATGCATTCAAAGTCAAAGGCAAAAGAAACATGTTATTTTTAGCTCCTCACAATCCAGGGTAAATTGTTATTATTGTTTATTTTTAACTTTAGTTGATATTTTAGTTAATGAACTATTTTATTTTTTCAGGCAACATTGGGTGCTTGTTTGTATCAATCCATTCGTCCCTGTGATTTATTATCTTGATTCATTAAGAGATAGTGACTTTAAGAACTACAAATCTATGAGGATATTATTTAATCAGTAAGTTTTTAGTTCTATATTCTTTATATATGTTTATTATAATAATTAATTTTTACTTGGTATGCTTAATCATTATATAATAGGGCTGTAGCACGTTATCGAGGAGGTGAAGGTCTCCCTCCAAACACCGAAAGACCTGATCCTGTTGAGTTTTATTCTTAGAAAAGAATAAAGGTTTGTATTATTTTCTTAATAAAACAAGTTGGTACATATCTAAATGATTGTTTGATTGATATTTTATGTTTGTTATTCTGAATATGTTGTTCTGGATTGATGTAGAATTTTTGGAAAATTCTGAAACTTCCAAGTTATAGGGGAGACTCTGCCGGATTTTCGACAGCAAATACTTGTATCATATATATAACTTCATCACTGAAGTATTTTAAATTAAGTTAGAATTTATTTCTACCATATAAATGACATCTTTTATTGTTTTATAGGTACCTACCCAATTACAAGGTTGGGAGTGTGGATACTATGTTATGAAGTTTATGAGAGAAGTAATCACACAACAAGAGTTGATCATTCCTGAAAATGTAAGTCAAAAGCTTTGAAATTAAGTTAATATAATATTAATTACTTATATATTGCTTTCATATCTTGTGTAGTATTTTGTTGGAGCAAGATATTCGCATTTTACTATGGAGCAAATAGAAGATTTAGTTGAAGAATGGTCAGAATATATTATTGGCTGTTTGTGATAGGAAGTTAGATTTCAATATTAAAAAAATAACAATAGTTTCATTTGTTAGGCTTGTTAGAAATTAAACTAGGTTAGTTGGAAAATTGAAATTGTTGTATCAGTTTCAAATTTTTTTCTTGTATATAAAATTTTTATGTTGACATTATTTTTAAATTAGTTTTTGATATTATGATTTGCCATTATTAAAGATATTTAAAAGGAGAAATTTAAAAAATTTAATTTAAAAAAAATAAATATAATATACGGGAGCGCTCATTTGAAGAGCGCTCCTGTAAAGAAACTTACGGGAGCGCTCTTTTAAAGAGCGCTCTGGTAAGTTCAATACAGGAGCGCTCTTGTAAAGAGCGCTCCGGTAAGGTTACATATGGGAGCGCTCCTATAGAGAGCGCTCCGGTATGCATCAGCTAAAGCGCTCCCATACATGACGCGCTATTACGGGAGCGCTTTTCTAAAAGCGCTCTTGTATCGCTTACATAAAAAAGCGCTCCTGTAAATTTCGGAGCGCTTGATACGGGAGCGCTTCAAAAGCGCTCCCTAAGGTAAAAAAAAAGCGCTCCTGTAAGCTTATTTTGTAGTAGTGACCGTTGTTGCTGTCGTTGGTTTCACTTCTATATTAATTATTAAGATATATATATATATATATATATGGACTCAATCAAGTAATCAGCTTTTAATTTCATTATAAAGTATTTTAGAATCCTTTCTATTGTTTAGATGTATCATGATTTTTAGTTCACCCATCATGATCATTATTTAACTGCGAGTTCCACGTCACTGACGAGAACGAGGAATTCTACCGTTTTGTCACCTTTGCATATGCCCATTAAGTTACATTGGGATATACTCTCTTTATCTCAAATTATAAGATAATTTTAAAGAAAATTTATCACCTCAAAATATAAAACACTTTAAAAATATTAAGGTTTTATTAAATAAACTTATTTCAATATTATCATTTCTCTCTCTCTATTTAATACTGATTAAGTATAAATTTAAGGTTATTAAATGAAGAATATCTTTGAAAGTTTATATTTTTGTTTTTAAAAAATAAGATTATCAAGTATATTTAATGAGTTTTATTGATATGTAAAATTTTATCTAAAGGTGTCTTACAATTTTGGGGGGAAAGGAGTAATATAATATTAAATAAATATAAAAAATCATGCTAATATTAATCATGTAAAACATGTTAATCAAACAAGTTTTTATGTTTTTTGTTCCCAAAATATATTTTACAGAATATCAATTTTCAGAATAATAAAACAAAAATAGTTCCAAACAAGTCCATAAATAATTTAAAAGATATTTTTTTTATTTTAAAACAATATTTTAAGTAACATTCCTTTCTCTCAATTCAAACATGGTTATTATTTTTCATATAACTACCCAATATTTCACTATTTAGTACATGATCATATCTTAAACAAGATTTTTTTCTAAAAGGAGAATACTTATGTGCAATTAAAGAAAATGAATTTCTCAAAAAAAATATTTTTTCACTTTCATTTAAAATCATCTATTCATATAATAAATGACAATCTAATTGATAAGTATTTAGCTCATAATCTATTAGGTAATATCACTATTGATGTAATAACCTTATTGGTATTTTTTTATTAAAAAATATAAGGCATTTTTAATCAAATTTTAATCCCAATAAAGTAGTTAATTATCTTCAAACTAACATCATCTTTTCATATTTACCTTTATTTAATAGGGTGTTTCACTTTAAAATAAATATAAAGTGATTTATTTATTATGAGTACTTGCAGTAAAAAAATATTAGTTATACCTTGAAATACTAAAAAATGTCTTACATCTAACTTTTTGAAAAAATACCTTAAATTTTTTAACGAATGGTGTAACATCATGAAAATTAATTTCCAAATTAATTAACTTAATAAAGGGTAATTAAGTAAATTTAATTGTAATTAGATTTAAGGATGGTTAGAGAAGGTTAATAAACCTATTAGGCCTTAACTATATCTTTTAGATTGGGTTTAGAGTGAAATTGGGCTACTGAGGCCCAATTAAAATACGAATTTGCTCTCTCTGTACCATCCACTGTGATAGATGGCTCGTGTGCCACAATAGATAGTCAATTTTTTTTTATTAAATCACACATACCAACATTCAAAAATAGAAAGAAAAAATGAAGAGAGACGGAGAGCATTCATGTAGCTCTATTAGGGCATGAGTTCTTTGGCTTTTTAGGAGAATATTTAGAGCCTTTAATTATTTCAAATAAGTTTTCTAAGTTCCATCCTTCCTTCCCCTTCCTTTTCAGCTAGAATTTTCTGTGGGAAGGTGATTTTCAGATGTTGGAGGCTTTGGGTCCAAACTCATTGCTTAAATATAACTACTAGAAATTGTTTGAGTTATCTAAACCTAAAAATGATGGTGTGGTGTGTCCATGAGAGGGTTCTTATTTATGGACAAAAATGAGTAGTTAAAATGTAATAAATTGATTGTTGATGTTGTTGGAAGCTATTAATGGTGATTGTTAGGTGTGATGAAGTTAGTTAGAGCTAATGAAAGCTAATACACCTAATAGCTATGAGTAAATACAAAAGGTTGTGATTGATGGGTAATTAAAGTATTGAAATTGGAAGTTGCAAGTGTGCAATTAGTGATATTAATGATGGATAGTATTGTTAATTATAGATTAACCACTTGGAACATCATTTGAGCTTGGTATTAGCTTGGGTAACTAGTTGCGATTAAGAGTAATCTTTGACTTCTCAAAAATTTAAGGTAATCAGGAGAAATCTAACTTGTACCTTTGCTCATTTGATTGATTATAGAGTTTTATGAACTTAATTTGAACATGTTCTAGTTTAAGCACAAAACCCTGAAACACAAAAAAAATACAAGAACAAAAAGAAAGGGATGAAATTTATGATGAAAATAAAAAATAAATGAAATACACAATGGAATCATGATCAAGGATAAGATCCTCTAGAGCACCTGTCTCTAGAAACCCCAACCTTTGAAGACACCACAAGAGTTGATCACGTTCTTGATCATATATGTTTCTCACACAAGATGCTACCACAAAATACTAAGACTCACAAGAGTTATAAACTCTAAAATAAATAATTTTATTCAATCTCTCTTCTATTTACAAGAGGCAGCATGTCTAATATATATAGGCTCATAG